CTTCCTCAGGATACGATTTGGCAAAGACAAGAAAGAGACCTTCTATAAAATTGCTTTGCTATTTTCTCCTTTCTTCAATTTCTCTTCTTTTTTTTACTAACACAATTCTCTTTTTATAAAAGAGAAAAGATAATGAGCACAAAGTGGCTTCGAGGTTTTTGTACAGAAAAGAACCTTCAAAAAATTGCCGAGCTTTGTTCAAGCACGTTTCTCGAAAATGAAATTACTCTTTGAAACAAAAACCATCCTCCCAGCTGGTAATTTCTTTTTTCCCCTCGGTCGAGTGTCGGTAAATAAAATAATTGTCATCGAGCAGGAACACGCGTGTCGCGGCGCGTAGACGCGCAAGGGAACGAGTCTAAGGGTAAACCGTGTGGAATAGGGCGTGTAACTGCATTTTCTCGTCTCTCTGGAGCTACGTTCGCGTGAATATGGCGCGCGGTCCAAGCAGAGGGAGGAAAAATATAAAAAGATACACGCTCGATCGTGTATATCATGGTCGCGGTTTTTCCGAGACGCTCACGGATCGTCGGGACGCGACGCGACGCCCGCAGCTTCCTTTTCATCTCTGTAACGAGGTTAGAAACCGGCAGAAATAATTTTTCCCGCTCCTGGAGACGGGGCTGCTCGCACGGCTCGTCTCACCCTCGCCTTCTACCCCATAAGCTTTGCCTGCTGTTTGCCTTTTTCCAACGGGATTCCTCCCTGGGGCTGGAAAAGCCCGACGACCAAACTGATTGCCTCGGCTTTCCTCCAAATCACGGCGTTATTTATTTTTATGCCTGGCTAAACGTACCGCGGCCGACTCTTGCAGCCACAGACTACACCGAAGAGCGAAAGCAATAAAACTATTTTTCCAGAAAATCATTATTTATTTACACAGAGTACCCTGTAACTGGGTGTAGAATTAGAAGAACTGAGGTTCCTCGGGATTCGGGGTAAATTCAGAGAGAAGCATTCTAAGGATAAAGTGGTGACATTAGAGAAGGTAGTTTGAGGGTAGCCACGACCATTCGATCCTATTGGCTACCTTCTGGGGTCAGGAAGACGAGATCCTTGGGATCCCCGACTGTTCGTCCATGTGTGGGACGATGCAATCAGGGAACAATTTCTTTATCCGTCGACGGTCTTGCTTTTTCCACGACGACAATAACACCTCCTCGATCGAGGGAAGCCGCTCGTTAGGGCCTCTACCTCGTTCGGAAGTAGTATCACGAAGAGGAATTTTATTACAGTGTTGGAACAAGGGTTCAGAATTGATGAATTAGCTAGTACACGACGAATCGTGTATGTATTTATTTAAGAAGCGTTTTTCTCCCGAGTCCGTCTGAAAGAATCTCCACGAGCCAATTGTCTTCGTCTTTGAATCTGAAAGCCCTTTTTTCCTCTAGTGGCATTCGCGACGCCTCTGCGGACTTGGAGGTAAAAAGTAAATTGTCCTGCGTGCGCGAGCTATATCGTTCGCATAGGAGAACGGTTTATTTATCGCGTATTTCGCACGACTTCTGCCTCCCTCGGTCGCTTTTATACGCTCGGAACAAAGCTGCGAAGCGAGACGGGCGAAAGAGAGATGAAACTAGGGATGCAAGGGTAGCAGGGGGTCGTATTTTGTTCTTTCGACGTGGACGCTTCGAAAGCACTCCTGGTGCATTCGACTGGCGCTCAGAGAAAGCGAGAGAGAGAGAAAAAAAGAAATCCTTCGTCTCTGCACGCTGTTTACCCAGATTTATGGCCGCAGACTCTGTCACGGATGAAATTTTCCGACTGCCGATGCAAAGGCAATTTTTCATATCGAGATCGGCCCCCATACGACCCACCGTAACAGATTTCTCACTCCTTACGAGCAAATGAACGAGCTTCATTCATCATATTTACAACAGACCCGCCGATCCTGCAGACGACCCGTCTGCAAATCGTTTCCGCGCCATTTCGAAGCTACATCTGTTCGATTAATTTCGAACAACTTTCTCGTGCTTAAAATGAAATATCAAATCAAAGTGGAAGAATAAATCAGGAAAATAATTGCAGTGAAAAGTATGAAATTACATTCGCGTAGAGATCCGTCAGGCAACGACTAACCGCAGCTGTCTAGAATCGAAATTCAAGTTATAAAAGGAAAAGGATTCCAGTCTTCGCCGAGTCGTTCCGTGCACGAACAATACAACATCTAATGAGAATCCTATAATCATCGGAGAGAAGAAAAAAGAAGGAATACAGGAGACGAAGCGTGCGTGGTGTCTGGTCGCGAAACGAGGCTTCGATCGGTTCCGAGCTTTCGCGTTCAATCAACTCGCCAGCAGCGAGACTTTCAATCCAATCTCCAAGCAGAGGCGCGATTCAAATGTCTCCGGTTCGCACCCCTTTCACGAAACGCATCGATCATATTTACAGTGCGACAGAAACGTAATCTGCTTGTCGACAAGGATCGGACCGAGTCGAATCGGGGAATCGAAGGGAAAAGAAAGAAAAGGATGGAGAAGACTATCACGAAGGGGAGTTGAAGAGGTCGTGGCGCCATGGGACCAGAAGACCTCATTTCTCCCTCGTCTTTTCCCCGTTTCGTCGCGCTCTGCCCCGACCTCCACGAGACACGTTCCAGTCACGTAACCTTAAATTGGTCAATTATTTCCCAATCGTTCTACCAACCGCCGACGTTTGCAGTCCGAAGAGTCCCGGGTACCGAACGATTCGCTATCCGTGCCAGACAATCGCGGTATCTTGCTCGATAAAGCCCAGTCGCGATTTCTTATTGGAAAATATTCTGGGTTACACGTGTTTACTACTACGGAGCTGAATGGCGCCACCGATCTAACGCAACCGAACACTCGGATCGTTCATTTTCCTGATATTAAACCGCTGCTTACCAGTTAAAGCAATTTTTCATTCAATTCTCTTTCTTGCTGACACGAAACGTTTCATGGGGCCATCAAGATTTTACGAGCAACTTCGACGCGAACTCGCTATTTTTCGGCCATCCTTCCTGCCGTGTCTCCGGTTTACAGCTGCCGTTTTAAAAGCGAGCCGTTAATCGCACAATATGGATTCACGAGGGGAAATAAAAGAGAAATACAGACAACCGTCTGGAACGGAATTTCTTTGTTTACGGACGGCTTCAATTTTGGAAATCGCGATACCAGACTTTCGTAGAAACAAGTTCACCGGACCGAAACTGGATTCGATCAGTGTGATTTTCAAAAGTAATTATAAGTAATTATAAATTGTAAAATGTTCGCAATAACGTACACTTATTACCAGGCGAAGCTTTATTCCGAGTACGAGTAAATATTACGAAATTTCCAGCGGGTTTTTAACGCGAGTAATCCGCCTTCCCCTCTTGTCATACAAATCCCCGACGCTTTCTCTATTTTTCTACTCTCCACAGATTCCCGTTCTGTCCGCAGTTCCGGTTTCGCGCGACAGTAGCCAGCGGAGCGTGCACCGTGTGCCCAACAGACAATAAAACCGCGAAACCGTGACAATTCTGCTCGGACTCGTAAAAAACCGTATTAAACCGACGAATCGAGAGTTCCCGGCTTTTCCGCGAGATCGCAAACTTTCTCCGTGGAAAGCCGAGAAACGTAGCTGAGTTGGCAACTTCTTAAAGACAATGTCATTTCCGGCCCCCAGATGAATAGACTCTTCCATAGAAATCTCCATCGATCGAACGGGATGCAATTTAAAAATTAAACTCGTACTTTTCCATTATCCCAAGAAACTATGCAATTCGCAATAAGACAGTCGATTCAATGTTCTTCGGTTTCTATTCGATTTCTTCGTAAAAAGTATCGTATTTCGCTAGTTTCATTCGATTAAGCGTTGAAATAATTACCAACCATTGTCCGAGAAGCAATTAGTGTTTCAGGGGATAAACATAAGAACCGCATTCCTTTTCCCCTTTTGAAACGGAAACAAGGGACGAAAGATAAGCGAGCCCCATGGAATAAGTGTCCCGTAAGCAGGTACACCTACCATGGACGAAAAGAAAAAAGAATTCTTCGAGTCACGGAAGAGCGTGGCGCCTACACTTGCCTCTATTTTTAAGCTAATTAACCGTACCATTAATCAAGGGAGCTCGCGTGATATCGAAAGAAAGTGACCTACGATAACTGCTTTCGTGTCGCCGCATTCTACAGCTGTATCTTATCATTTAATTAAGTAAGAAGACCCGATCATGGGACGAAAATAGACGGGACGGTTATTCGAAATGTGTGTTTTACATCGAGTCAAAGAATTTCGTCACCTGTTAAAATAAATTTCGATGGCAAGTGTCTGATCGTGTCGCGGTTCGTTCTCGATGCAATGTGATTTTATTTTTATAAGAACACGCATCGGTGGTCGATCGTTCAGACAAGGCAAGGGTTAAACGCGACGAGATTCCCCGAAAACAAAGGCGTCAAACGAAGGAGACGTCATCTGGAATGTATAAATACCGAGAGCCCGGTGAAAAATCAAAAAACCTCCAACGAATATGGCTGCGGTGGCGTTCGAACAAAAATTCCTCACTTTCCATCGAGGGGACTTTACGTTTTTGCTGTCATTAGTTCCAGGGATAACGTCAGCGTCACCGAGAGGGTGGGTTCTTTTCTCGTACGACGAACAGAGATTACGGATCCACGTCTTCACGAGTAGAAAGAAAAAACACACCAGCTAACTGAAGGCTTTTTCCAGACTCGACGAGGCATCGTGGGCTCAGTCTTTATCGCAAACGAGCGTGCCTCGTATTAGAAACCAGATTACACTAAATCTCACTAACGTGAGAAACGAAGTAAACTACGGGGTTTTAAGAAGAATAAATTATCTAGAAAACGTGGCTGATTGATCGGCAAAATTTCGATTTTGTGCACGAAATCCGTGCACCCTTCCTGGAGGAATCGAAATTAGGGTGAAAATACCCCTGCCCAATTGACCGAAAAATTATTCCATCCCATCTGATATTCATCCAGCAATCTACATTGCAATTTTTCGACCCTCTGTAAGAAGCAGTAAAAGTTATGAAACTAATCGTAGAACAGAAATGGAGATGGCTGTTCTAGTCTCCCTTCGTCCCCTTTTGGAGCACCAGTTTTACCCCATAAAAGGGTGGCGCGTCATGGAAGTCTCAGCCAAAGTCATGGCGAAACGACGTCGAATGTCACGATGGTGTTTCAGAAAGGAAACTAAGGATTCGTTTGAAATGGGCTGAATCGAATCGTTTAACGAACGGAACACACTTATTCTTGATATTTTCAAGAAAACGATGATTACGTATTCCCGGCTGCAATTTTCCTGGGCGTTGCGCGTGTACACGCAACACGCAATTACGTTTCAGGGATATATCGAGGTTCGAGGATCGATTAGAAAGGAATTGCAACAGAGAGCCACGTCACGATTATTAGAGAAGGTCAAGTCACGCCTCGACGAGACGCGCCGGAAGAAGAGTTTCCATCGAGTCATTCGACAAGCAGACAGAGATATTCGCAAGGTCGAAAGTAATTAAAAGTGAATCGTGCTACGAGACGATGAGAATGTTGGTACCAGCGACTGAACGCAATTAAACCGTTACGAGATGAAGATGTTCTTGATCCACAGAGAATCTTTCGGTGAAATTTCTGGACAAGAATCGTAATTTTTCTTTCGCGTTTGCAACTTGGACTTCATCGATCACTCGAGTAATTAGTTGCACTTTGACTCGTCGTGTAATTGTAAATGAAATGATAAATTGTTGCAATAAAAGGTATTATTTAAAAAAAAAAAGAAGGCTAAATGTCAAAGATTTAATTCTGACCTCGCTTACAATTAGTTCCATCCTTTCAGAGTAAAAGAATGTTCAAGACGACTTCAACACGTACGACGATCAATCTTAGCGTTTTACAAGATCGCGAAGGTGAAGTTGACGCGTAACCCACTCGCGTCAGAATCTATAGATTGCGACAGAGATCGTAAATCGCGTAAAAACAGCATAACTCCCGTTCAAAGTAATCGGTTTGACCGCATACCTTAGGCATCGAGCTATCGTCGTCTAAGAGGACGCTGAAAAAGTCCCGTAATTGCAGCATCGAGCATTTAACCCGTTATTCAATGGTGCGTGGTTGCAAGGCCGTTGATGCACACGCTTTCGATTCCGCGAACAATAAGCGCGCGTCAGCTCGCGAGGGAAAAAGAGTAGCGTTACCGTTAGCGTCGCGACGAAGCTGTCTTCGACGCTCGAATTCCGCCAGGTACGCGTGTTTCTTCTGGTAATTGAATACTGCTACCAGCCACGTCTCCAGTGACAAGCAAAAATCATTTTCCCTTCTTTTTATCTCATCGTCCTCGAAGGTTGATACGGAATCCGGTTCGAGCGTTACGTAAAATTGCGACGAGGAATCCGCGCGGACCGCAAACGATCGATGGAACTTGAACGAGTAAACAGGTAGTGCGAGTTGTCAACTTCCGGGAACTTGAGTCGACGGAAAAATAAATTCCAACTTTTGATGGAATCGAACGGGACCTGCGGATGACCGGCGCGGTGGTCGAAAAAGCTTCGCCTTCGAAGGAATTCCTTGACGGAGAAACTCGAGTGAATTTCCGGTCACGAATTATTCCGCTCGCGTTCGATCGAAGAGGAAGAAGAAAGAGGGCAAGTTAACATCGTGGAAACTAGATTTTACCGGCTAACATAATCGAGTTGAATTTTTAACCGGCACTGTTGTCGGTTGCTGAAAGACGACCGAGGTAATCGAATTAAAAACGCTCATGAATTTTAATACTTCCTTCTCCGGTCTCTCTTTTCGAACGATTCGTGTCTCCGCTTGGTCGACGAGGAATCGCCAAAACCTTGAATTTCTTCAGCTACTTATGGGGATCGTTGATTTTATCATTTCTATTTAGGGTACTATTCGTTCACGATTCTTCTTCAAGCGAGGTTCGACAATTTTTTAAAGAGAACTCTTTACTTTTTGTAAGAATGTTTCTGCTCGAGCAAGCGTTGCCTACTGTTTGCTCTTTTTATCATTTCATGTGTGGTTCAACCTCGCGTGATGACATAATCGCATGGAAATGAGCTGAATGTTCTATGACAAAAGAGTCGAGTAGCTATTTTTACAATTATTTTTCATTACCTCGTATATATTTGTAATTGTTAAAAATGGACAAAAAGGAAGGCGTTAAGGATCTAGAGTTGCAACTAATATTTCCCAACTGCGTGTGAAAAGAAAACTAAGCATAGAAATAACCAAACACGAAGACGTTATGTTAATGTCTTGTAATCTCCAGGAAATCAATCTAAAGAAATGATTACCTTATCAACTTGATTATGAGTAATCGTTCATTAACCTATTCGCTAAGGATGACGTTTTCTATCCTTGCTCATTAACTACTAAAAGCATAAGTATAGATGAATTTTCGTCTAACAGCAAGAAAATAAATAGTAGGTACATAAATGGCGATAGATTTATGATTATCATACGTTAAATATTTGAGCCACGATTATCTGAATGCTCCAGTGTTCCTAAACAAATATTTCAAGCGAATGCAAGTTCTAAGGTAATAAAATGAATCACTAAAAGGTGACGAAGGCATTCGTTTTAAGGAAAATAATAAGAAAAACAGATCGATACTAGGAAACTGATAGACCGTAATTGCTGAAACAATAAGGGACATTCGGAAAATTGACCGAGGCCCGTAACGCGTTGGAGAAATAAACAAATCCATCAGCGAACTATGTCAACAGAACAAAGGAGTTGGCTCGTAAAAGCTTCTCAGATGGGAGTCGTCGATAGGGCGCGGGTAGAGAAAACTTCTCGCCCGTTTTCCGAGAAGAAGGAACGAAGAATAAACAAGGAGTAACCGAACGAGAGTACGATTGTGGGTCACTCGTTGCCACGTCCCACTTTCTCCCGTTCAACCAGCACGCTTCCCGAACGGTTCAGGTCCGCGACCCTTCTCGGCTTCTCGTCTCGATCCTCGACCGGAAGCAATAAACCTTCTTACTTCGTCGATGCAGCGAAGATCGTATCGAGCTTATGAATCGAAACGAAACGACGGAAAACTGCAATCGTTGCGTTCTGTCAAAAGCAACGAGTGAGATGAGGGGCGAGGTAACAGAGAGAGATTCCCGTGGAAATTTAGTGGTCTCCGTGGAACGGAAATAGCCGCGGGATTCGAGAAGCGAACGCAAAGGGATCGCGGCGAGGAGAAAGAAATACGTTCCATGCAAATTTCCCGAGTGCAACATAATTACCCCGTGGGATGGACCGTGCTAAATCTGGTCGCGAAAAAGGGAACGCCGTGGAAAAACGGTCGGTAGGATAATACCGGAAACGAGGCGAGATACAAATGAGAATCGTTGCCGGGGAGAAACGGGCGGCTAGCAGGTGTACGCGCTGCGATAATCGATTCCGACGATCGAAAACGAACCAAGAGGAAGCTACGTCGAGGGATTAGCACGATTATCCGAATAATTAGCCCGGCGATCGGGGGTGGGTCGGGCAAATAAAGCTTAACCCGCTCCGCAGAATCATTCGAATTCCATCGGTGTATTTAGTCGCATAACTTTCCTATGATCAACGCGTTCTGGTAACTTAAAATTAAATATAAAAAATTGAATGAAATCATGATCATAACAAGTCTTGATTCAACCACAGTAATTTCTAATTATAAAGGGTTAAAATATAGAGACAATCATCGAAATTGAAAGATATGAAAGTTCAGCAAAATAAAAGCATGTTCTCTAATCAAAGTGCTTGTATCCCGAAGATTTTTCTCCGAACTTTTATCTCACGGTTTGTTTCGATTTAATCTCCCCGGTCCCGCGGGAGAGACACGGCCGACGGATCAGGGGTGTTGTGAAAAGAAAAGAACGATAAAACACAATGACTCACCGAGCGCCTTGCAGCTTCCGCCATGCAGGGAATCTCCGGCGAGCTGAATGATGGCCATGAGAAGATCACCGAGCATCAGGCAAGCGACATGATGAGTCTGGCATCGCCAATGCAGAACGTGATGAGAAGCAGGGAGCAGCCAACCAGCGGCCAACGTGGCTGCCAGGAAGACTGCGCTAATGATAAAGCCCACCGGGTACAAGGTGAACCTGATGTCGGCTGCTTGCATTATCGGTCTGAAAATTTTCCAGGAAAATTTATTTCGCCTTTATTTTCTCCTAATAACAATTCATGTTACGTATTCTTCAACACCGCTGTTCAGATTTATTAGTCAGCTATTCCGACTCCTTTGTGCATTAATTTTCAAATTTCGTAATACACTCTTAACCCGTTTCCCGAAATTCGGGTCCGAGCCTAGTGAAAGTCCTCGAGAGAGAGAAATCGTTTCTCCGATTTCGAGGTGGTCACGGTTCAGTCACGTCCCGTGTAGAATCTAGCCCCGTAAGTGTCAGAGAAAAGGAAAGAAAAACGTTTCTTAAGCTAATACCCGCACGTATCGATGCTGCTGCGTGCCACTTTCTACGCGAAGGTATTCGATTTTTCTATTCCACGCATATCAAACAGAAACCTTTTTCCACGAGCCGTTCGAACAACGTGAAACATCTTTAATTTTGAATAAAACATGGCTCGCTGGTCGAGGTTTCGTTTGCAAAAGCTTGTAAAACGGCTGCCCTTCCGTCGTGTACGGGCCACATGTAAACGATCGCGTTAATTGAGTTTCGAGCATTGCTTTGCAAATTGCCAGCGAAATTCAGCCACGCAACTCGCGGCTACATTTTCTCTATGTAATTTCCGGGACTCTTGTACCGTGTACGCTATTACCACAGCCATCGTTCAGGAATGCCAAGTCCGGAAACGAACACGTCCAAAGAGAATCGGTAACGTCGAACGCTCGTGCCAGCGTTAGAGTTATTCAAGAAATTCCGTTTCGGAAACATGTCGTGAATTTCAGTGACTCGTAATTAATTCCTGCATCTCGTTACTTTTCCTTTCTCCCCCGGCGTTGTTACCGTTTATCGATTACCATTCGTTTCCTATGTTTGATCTTTCGTTTCGCCACGTAAACGATCGAACGAAACGCGAAGCTTCGGCGCTTTATTTTTCATTCTACATTCGCTAGGATAATTCTAGTCTGAGGCAACGAAACACACACGGCATAGTTTTCCTTTCGTCATCGATACGAAAAGGAAGCAGCCTGTATCAAGTGGCACGGATCATCTCGAACGGAAACGCGTTCACGGATGACGCGAAGCGGCGTGGCGCATCGCACCAGCCACGGACGTGACCTAGAAATTCTTCTTCAAGAAGAGGAGTGAAAGTGAGGAGGGAACCGACTTTTTCTCGAGGTATCCGAATGAATCGAGAGACGAAGAACGCGTACCTTACAAACGAGGCTACACCATCGACCATGCAATTAAGCCGTACAATAAATCCTGATCGAGACGGCCGATACCGATTCGGCCTGGCAAAAACTCGATCCGTGCCTCGAGAAATGGCTCGCTCCGATCCTTTCTGTAATTCCCGACGAATCTGTTCGATTCTCATCGATCAGGCCGACGAACGATTAACCTCGATTTCCTACATCGAATCCCGGAAACGTATTAAACGCAAACATTCGCGATTATTATTTCATACGATAGATTTATAGTCGTTGCACCAAGCGAATGCTTTCCTTCGCTTTTCCTCGACTCGTGAAAGTACACCATTCCTTCGTTACTTTAATTTCGTCCGGCGAAAAAACACGCTTCGTTAAGTAGAACGCTCGTTGCGCTCGTTTAAAACGCGAAGAACGCGACGCGTTAATGAGAGGAAATCGGTGTAACCTCGAGATACGAGTAAGAAAATTGTAAAACATCGACGTCTCGAGTTTTATAAATAGGTTTGTATCATGTTATCATGATATTTCAATGATCGTTAGTATCAAAGCGCACTCGAGTGCAACGTAGACTGCAGCCTCGAAAGAATCTGGATAGTTTAACTTTGAATTTCTTAATTTTTTAAAATCTAAGGTTGCAATTTATAAGCAAAGGTACCAAGTGAAAATACGAACCTTTGCGACGTGTGCTCCGAGCAGGCGAAGACCTTGGACACCTGGTTCAGTTCTTTGATCCTCTCGACGCAGAACTGGCCGGCAGGTAAGGAGACCCCGTCTATTTCCAGACCACCGTCCGGCAACAGCACAGCATCTTTCGCATCGCCCAGGATCGTGAAATTATCGGACCGCGTGCAAGTTGGAAAGCCCGGCACTATTTCGACGGCGGACGACGCGTTCGGCAACAACGGCGTCGCGTCGGTACCTTCCTTCAGGTGGGCGCACGCGTGTCTGCGAAATTAACAAGTTCCGGTTACAATTTCCGTTCAGCTACCTACGGCTCGTTCACAATCATTTGTACAGTTTTAAGATTCAATAAAGAATATCTGTGAGACTATGAATTACGATTGTTTTTTATTTTTTGGAAGTATTTAGACAGTAAATATCCTGTACATTGCAAGTGTATGACTCAGATGTTAGAGAAAGGTGAGTCAGGAATTCGCTGGCACGTAATACTTGTAATGCGAGCTACACAAAAGAAACCTGGATAATACGGCTCTCGAAATCAACCACTTCGGAGTAAACAGAGTCTCCTGTTGACAGGTGTTGAGATCCGCGAGGCACGGTACAAAAGGAACGATTCATTTGGCGATTTATTCGGCTCGTCCAATAACTAAATGTCTTCAAATTTCTAAAGGTGTGCGTTTTCTTTCACAAATTTATGAGTCGGTTGTATCGAGTTTAAAACAGTCCCATACCAGGAAACGTGATTTATGAATAAACATGTTGGGTCACGAAGAAACCGGTGTCCAACTGGAACGATGTTACTCGAAATTTTCGAAACGAGTCTTTCGAACTGATTTTTCGGAATATTTCAAATGGCAGCGAGTGTAACTGGCAATGGAAAAGGTAAGGGAAAAGGAGCTATTCGTATCGCAAGAATTTATCTAGGAAACGTTCGTTGGCTACACACAGAATGCCAACAAAGTCCAACGAAACGCCCAAGCACGAGCGATTGGAAACGAGCGATTAAAACGGAACCCAACATTTTTTTTGTTTGCTCGAGCGTCACGCTTGCATCGCAAACATCGAGTCCAAGGGAAAGCTCGATTGCTGCAACTTTCGATCATTTATTTCCCAGCCGGGCGTCAAACGGCAACGAGCCTGTCAATAAAAATACACCGTGTGCCACGCGGGCCGACAAATTTCCCTCGGCCCTACAAACGAATATTTTTCATTTTATTTCTAAACCAGCTCTGTTTCGTGTTCTGCGGTCCGTAAAACTCGCAGAAATTCAGACGTGTGTACTTCAAAGAAAACTTCTCTTTAAATATTCATTTCTTTTTCGCGTAAATGAAGATTTAAAAGATGAAACCAACTATTATAAATTATTATTTTTTTCTTTAATTTGAAAAGAACCATTTTTAAAAACTTCGCTACCTATGATTTTAATCAAACGTACCGCGATACAAGCAAATTAGGATTCGCTGTTCAATAAGAAAACTCACATTTCCTCGTGAAAAGCGGCGTCTTCGCCGCAACACTGTCTAACTCGTGGTCTCATGGTGGCGGCCAGGTGGTTTCCCTCCATTCTTTTCCGCACACATACGAGCAACGCGTTCGAATCGACGCAATATTCGTTCGGTTCGAATTTATCCGAATGGATATCGAGAAGAGCACTACCATCGTCCAAAAGTACAAACGGATTGGTGCTTCTGTACGGTACATATGACAGCATCGAATTGTCACCGCACTGTGGTTTCCTTCCCGGAACGACGTTCCATTCTGCCGGTGGATTAGGCAGGAAAGTCTGAAGGGACGGCGAGTAGATGAAGGGTTTCCACTCGTTTTCAGTAGCTTTGCAACGTGTCATCGTGCCGACATCATTGTCCTTCACCAATTCTTCTTTATGTCGACAACACTTCAGGATCGTCAGTTTCGATCGCGAATTGTCAGGTTCGGAGTAGACGAGCACCACCAACGCGAAGAGGATAGTCGCGAAACGAAACGCCTTCATGATGAACGCGATTTCAAAGTACAACGAAACTTGACCGAAAGAAGGAGTCCTGGACGATTTTACACTGGAAACATCACACGATTCGGAGAAATCGAAGAAGATTCACCCACCGTGATGTCTGATCGAACACGCGTGGTGCTCCGTCGAATATACCAGAATCGAAAGACGCACGGGTCACGAGCCTGCTTCCCCGTGTTTATAAACACAGCAGCCGCGGTTGAATGTTTCACTGAATCGAACGGTTGAAATTAATACAATTCGTCATCGCTCGGATAGCAATAATATTTAGATCGGGCGAGGATGGAAAAGAAACGCGGTGGCAACGCGACAGTATGAAAACGATGAGTAGAGAATAGCGGTTTTGGCGCGTGTCGGCATCCGCGGTCGGGCTCGAAATCGGACGTGACTCACTCGCTCGAAGGTTTCGGAGTTACTGAAGCGGTCCGACCACGCGGCCGACTCTAGATCCACCGGCGGCAGCGTGGCCGATGGGTGCGCGCGCAACTCCTCGCCGTTCCCGCCCTTATTCAACCACCTACCTTTCTTCTTTCCAAACGACGACCTTCGTCGCGACGCCGTTTCCCCCGTCGTCGCGAGTGCGCGCGACCACGTGCTCGCTCCCACTACCTTCTTTCATCCCGGAAGTGCAACGGTACCTTGCGTGAAACTCTTTTCTCTTCCGTGGGAAACGCGCTCTCCTGTCCTCATTTCCGATCCTCTCGAAATCCGCTTCGTCGATATCGGGCGATTTAAAAATATATCCAATACCCAGAAAGAATTCCTCTGATTCCGAAGGTCTCGAAACTTTGCGAATCGATGTTCAGGGAATTGGGGAAAAACGAAATTGCGTAAGCTAAACGTAAAAGTAGCAGAACGCGTCGGTTACCAGGAAGATACAATGCTCCGATCTCGAGGGAAAATAAACGGTAATGTCCTTGCGTTCATTACTATTGATAAAATAAATACGGTGGAAATTGCGAACGAATCTTTACTTCGAAATTACGATCCGGCGTAGGAACTTCCTGACCTCAACCAGCATAGGTAGCTACTGCAGCCGATCGTTCGAGGATGATAATGACCGAGAATCAAGGTAACAGTACGCAAGATCAAGTCCATAAACCATCCTCGAGCCAAGCACGAGGTGCTTGCCGCTGGAGAACACTTTCCGCGCAGTGCAAGCCGCTCGTTCGTATAATTTACAGTCGCGTTATGTTTGCGAGATTAACAGTGTGGCGGGCGGTCCCGTTCAACCGAACCAGATCCACCAACGGTGTTCTCTAAACCATCGTTGGATCTCGTTATCTCCGCGTTCCCTGGAATCACCGCTTCCGTTCATTTCCACTCTGGTTTTACGCGTTTCGGCTGAACGGCTCGCGAAAAACAGACGAGATCTTGTTATTCCGTAATTAGGAAAATACTAAAATACCATCGAGTTGCTACGGAATATATTTACCGCGGTCCGATTGAAAATTGATTTAAACGACGCCGTTTCGAACGAGGGGGGAGGTACTTCCCGTCGATAAAAACCGCTTCGGCTGCTCGTTTTTACCCTTCCCGACGGAGGGACGAACAAGACGGTGTTCCGGGCCGACAGGCGGAAACGCTTTAAAAGTTTCGGACGGCGCCAATTAAACTTCTTCGCCATTTCGCGGCGGCGAAAATTGGGAATTTATGTCGAGACCGCGTAGACGGTGGGGTGTCTGCGAAATTTTGTCAATTAAAGTGTCCTTAGCGTTTCGAAAGGAAGCCGGCGCGCGGCTACAGCGGTATCGTGGAAAAAGGGTGAAAGCGGAAAAAGCGGTCGCGACGCTTTTTCCGCCTTAATGCGAAGCTTATGAGAAAATTAGTGGGACGAGATGTACGCGGCAATTACGCGGCTGTCTCCTGCCGACTGAAATATCGCGGCCACCGTCGAACAGGCTCGTTCAATCGGCTTTTACCCACCTACCGATAAAATCGTTTTTCAAATTTCGTACGAACAGGAACCGGGCGCGCACGGCCGCGATTCTGCGATGCAGCTGGTTAATAGGATGCTTTGGAATTCGGAGCAGCGTCGGCACGCGTAAATCACGAGCCTCCAGGACCAACTAGCAATCTCTCTCTCTCTCTATTCCGATGGTGTGCGTAGGGATGCAACGCGTTCACGTTAATAGGTTTGCACCGGGTTCGTCGGTACTCGTGTACGTACAGTCCCTAAACGCAATACAGATTTTATCTACCCCCCTGGTATTGTCTACGAAGGGTACCAGCCAGACGGTTTGATCCAACGTTACTCGGACGATTTCGAAATCCGGCCAAATCATTGCTCGATCAACCGTTACTCATTAAGGGAATCGTTGTTGTACCAGAGATCCTATCTGGAAAATAATGCGCTCTGGGGGCTGCGCGATAATGTGCACCCCTTCTCCATCCCTACCACTCTTATCTACTTTATGAATTGCAAAAGCGATCGAGTGTGGGCTGCTTTTATTTTACTAATTGAACGTCGGAACAATGAAATAAACTGGGAAAATGTGAAATCGGGGAGAGAAGGAACTTCCACCTTCTGATCTCTAGCTTCGAAACTCTCGGTGCTCGTTAAAGAAAGAAAAAAAGGAAAAATGAAGCAATAAAGTTATTCGTGCGGCAGGGTCGACGATAAAGCCGTTCGATCGGATCGCCTTCACGTAAAAGTCTCTTCCTTGTCGTTCGTGCAAAGGTTAACGCCAGGGTCTAAGCGAGCTAATCTCAAGCCCCATAAATATTAGAACCCATGGGACGAACGTCGTCGATCATACCGATCTCGAAACACAGGGAGCCTGCCGAGGAAAATTAACACGCTCCTCGTCGACGGTTCGTGATAATCGTATGGCGGTCTCGTAATATAGCTTCATGGATCGTTTTCGTTATCGAGATTCGTCGATATCATATGCATTCTGTCGCGTGATCGTTTAAACGCACCTGTTCGTTGCTCTATAAGAAATTTTTCTAATAGCAATTCAAGATGCTATCTCTTTAATGGTGTCATTTGATAATTTACTCGAAAGTGGGCTCGTTTACCAGCCGATTCGTTTCGTTGCACGTGAATTACGCGATTTCAGGAAAAATGTAATGGCAAAAGTGATCGTTGGCACGGTCGAGTTGCCGAGTTCAAGGATGAACGGAAGTTTTTCCAACGAACGCGATTATTACGAAGTGAAGAGGCTCGCGGCTGATCGAGAATGATTAAAATTAGCTTCGTTAATTAAAGATCCTTTCGACGGGGTAACAGTCGCGTTCGCGATTACTGCAAATTCGCTTAATTCGTCGCTGATGATCCTGTTAGCCGGAGATCTTCATTAGGCCGGACGCGGTCGGCGACGGAACCGACGGAAGTGGAAATTACGCGAAGCGCAATTAAAAGTGGAAACGCGTACTGCTCGAAAGAAGCCGACCACGATTAACGAGCGTATTCGTCGTTATCTCGTGGCACGGATCGATTATGCAAAGATTCCCAAACACTTCTGACGGCGTAAGTCGAAGTTTGGGGAAGAAAAGATTTTACGGGGGTGGGCGTGAAAACTCAATCGTAATGGCCTATAAACGACCACCATAAAGATCATAACGGTACATTAAACCGAGTATCGCTGGTCGCGGCTGCTACGTGAAACTTTTGCGAGCTCTAATCGTCTGACAACCGGCGACTTTTCCTTTATACGTATATTTAACCCTTTCCAGGTCAAAGTTTTTTTTCTGACGCTTCGCAATTTTATTCTAAAACTTTTATCATTTTCCTATAAAGTAAGAGTTTCAAGAATTTTAAGAGTCATAGGCTTTGAATAAACATCGATGTAATTGAAAATTGCTGAAAGATTTCCAAGAAGGAGCATTGAATGTCCGTCAGCAGTGTCTCAAGGAAATTTAGGGTCGTGTTTCAGACCTGACTGTTTTGTGTAGGTATCGGAAGCACGCTCAAGCTGTACCTACTTACTTGCCAGCAGGGTCAGTATCACCGGCAATTTATGGGCTGATGCACTGGTTGTTCAGACCATAGTCAGCCCGTGTATAACGTCTCACCAAGATACGAGCAGCACGCTTCCTGTTTCCCTCGCTTCTGAGCCGCTTTGCATATTTTTCACTGTTTTCCCTGGTCACGGGGACTAAGTCTTTATCGCGGGTAATTTCGCGTCGCCAGGGCTCGTTCGATATGAAAATTACACACTCAAAATATTCCACGCTTTAAGATTAACTACCCTCTACAAGATTATCCCCGGCAGTAATTTGCAGTAATTTAAAATGCTTCAAAGCACGCGACTTTTATAAAACGATGGTAATAATGTTGTTGATTAAGAGCCGGGTTTAAATAACACGGGGAGTTTTTGAAGGAAGTCGAAAATTTCCTATCGAAAATCAAGCAGTTAGATGTAATTTAGAAATTTTACGACCTTGCTACGATCGCTTACACCCAGCGCCGCATTGTAGAATTTCTAAACGGGTATAATAATGTATAGAAGAAAAAAAAAAGCAGGTACATGGAACGGCTTGAATAGGCCATTGAACCTGGTCTTAAGAAGGTACAGGTAATAGTTACCTGTGGAAACTAGAGTCGTAAAGTTCGAAAGCTATAACTTTTCCTGACATCGTGTTGGAGCATGCAATCCAATATTTAGTTTTCATGTTTCCAAATGCATTAATTGAATATCTTTTTTCTTTCTTCTCGAATCGAAACTCCTCTATTGAAAGGACAGAAGCTTGGAGGAACACCAAGGTTCTCCAATTCTGGTGCCCAGCATGGGCGTTATATCGTGCGAGTGACGTTCGTTGAGATGGTAAAAGCTTTCTTCCGCGAAGGGATCTTTGTAAACTCAATTTTCTGACTGGCGCGAGATAAGGGCTGGTCTCTTCCGGCCGCCACCATAGTCGGCAACAGCAACGCTGCCACCCTCGTCACTTTGATATCGATGAGGGTAATTTACGCGAACATTGTTGGCGAAGAAGATTGATGCGTCGAGTGCGTGCAGGGGTACCGAGAGACCCTCGGGCCGTTTCTCTTTCTCCCTTTTTTTACCACCCCTTTTCTCTCTCTCTCTCTTTCCTCTTCACCCACCCCCTACTCGTTTCCTTTTCCTCGGCACGCTCCTCTGCCTCTCTTCACCTTTCCCTTCCTTCTTTCTCATCCATTCTTCAGGGGCGTGCAACATGATGAATTGCGTTTCGACACCCGACCTCTCCGCGCGATTGTCCTACGAGACTGCCCCGTCATTCCGCGCATTATCACCAGCGTGAAACTGGCTCCTCCTCGTTTTCAGCTTCATTGTGGACGAACCACCGCGATACACACCCTTCTGTTCCCTTCGTGACACTCACTCGGTTTCCTGTGTACTTTCAGCAAACTACATTGCATTGTCACCGGAAAACTGCAGAAATTGCAGCCGAAACAGGTGGCGTTTTTCGAGCATCAATC